ATGAAGCGTTCAAAATGGAAGAATCTGAGAATATAGAAACTATGTTTTCTAGATTTCAGATCCTCACAGCTGGTCTAAAGGTTCTGGACAAGGGATACTCTACATCAGATCATGTAAAGAAAATCATCAGAAGTCTACCTACCAGATGGAGACCAATGGTGACTGCCTTGAAGATGGATAAAGATCTGAACAAGATTTCTTTAGAAGAACTCATCAGCTCACTGAGGAGTCATGAAATTGAGCTTGAGGAAGATGAACCTCAGAAGAAAGAAAAAGGTAAATCTATTGCTTTAAAATATAATAAATCTGCTAAAGCTTTGCAGGTTATTGAAGAAAGCTCTGAAGAATCTTCTTCTGAAGAATAAGATGAATTATCCATGCTGTCCAGAAGGATCAACAAACTCTGGAAGCACAAGGGAAAGAAGTTCAACAACTTCAGACGATCTGATCATAGAAAGGAATCTTCTGGACACAGAAGATCTGGCAAGAAAGAAATTACATGCTATGAGTGCAAAGAACCTGGACATTACAAGAGTGATTGTCCCAAACTTCAAAGAGAAAAACCCAAGAAGAAGTTTGACAAAAAGAAGAAGGTTCTGTTGGCAACATGGGATGACTCAGATGAATCTGAATTATCTTCTGAATCAGAAGAAGAATGTGCTAACGTTGCACTAATGGCCAGCATAGATGATCAGGAAGAAGGAACATTAGGATATGAAGCTGAATCAGACTCTGACTCTGAAGAGGTATTTTCTGATCTTTCTAGAGCTGAACTTGTTGAAAGTTTGTCTGATATGTTGGAAAGCTACAGCAAGATCAAACTCAAATACAAGAAGCTGAAAAGAAGTCTTGAATTTGAGATTGATCTTCTGAAGACAGAACTTGTTGAGCAAAAATAAATTAATATGAAAATCAAAAAGGACTTTGAAACAACTCAACAAGAATCTGAATCTCAGAATGAGTCATGTGAAAACATTTTAGAAAAATATGATTCTAGCTTTCAGAGATTCCTTACTAAGAGCATAGACAGAAGCAAGAAGGCTTCTATGATCTATGGTGTTAGTGGGAACAACAGAAGAGGTATTGGATATGAATCTTCCTCTGGAAGTAATCCAAAATCTGTTGACAAACTCTTCATCAAGAAGACACCTCTGTACTCTCAATTTAAGTTTGGTAACTTAAATGACATTAAACACACAAGCTCTGAGAAGAATACTTATGTGTTTAAACCCAAGGCAAGTCAGAATAAACATTATGTTGAAAAACAGAAGTTTAGACATACCTACAAACCAACTAACCCTAAAGGACCCAAGAAGATCTGGGTACCTAAAAGTAAAATAATCCCTATTGCAGATGTTCTTAGTAGCAAGGTCAGGACGCTAGTCATGGTACCTGGACTCTGGATGCTCACGACACATGACAGGAGAAAAGTCTATGTTCCAAAGCCTGGAACATAGATCTGGAGGTGACGTGAAGTTTGGAGGGAACCAGAAAGGCAAGATCATTGAATCTGGCACTATTGGAAATGGTAAACTTCCCTCTATAACTAATGTTTTACTTTTTGAAGGCTTAAAGCATAATCTATTGTCCATAAGTCAATTAAGTGACAATGGTTATGATATCACCTTCAATCAACAATGTTGTAAAGCTATTAGTCAAAAGGATGGCTCAATCTTATTTAGTGGTAAGAGGAAAAACAACATTTATAAAATTAATCTTTCAGAACTTAAGGTTCAAAATGTTAAATGCCTCTTGTCTGTTAATGAGGAGCAATGGGTCTGGCACAGAAGATTGGGGCATATTAATATGAGACGTATATCTCAGATTAATAAACTTAATCTTGTCAGAGGACTTCCTAAGATGAAGTTCAACTCAGATGCTCTTTGTGAAGCATGTCAAAAAGGAAAATTTTCAAAATCTTCTTTTAAATCTAAAAATGTTGTTTCTACCTCCAAACCATTAGAACTACTTCATATTGATCTGTTTGGACCAGTGAAAACTGCATCTATCAGAGGCAAGAAGTATGGATTAGTCATTGTTGATGATTATAGCAGATGGACATGGGTAAAGTTCTTAAAACACAAGGATGAGTCAAACTCTGTGTTCATTGATTTCTGCAAGCAAGTCCAGAATGAAAAAGATCTTAAAATTATTAAAGTCAGAAGTGATCATGGTGGCGAATTTGAAAATAAACATTTTGAAAAATATTTTTCTGAAAATTGCATTGCTCATGATTTCTCCTGTCCTAGAACTCCACAACAAAATGGAGTTGTAGAGAGGAAAAATAGAACTTTGCAAGAAATGGCCAGAACCATGATCAATGAGACTAATTTGGCAAAGCATTTTTGGGCAGAAGCAATTAACACAGTTTGTTATATTCAGAACAGAGTGTCTGTAAGACCTCTCCTGAAAAAGACTCCCTATGAATTGTGGAGGAACAGAAAGCCCAACATTGCTTATTTTTATCCTTTTGGATGTACTTGTTTTATGCTTAACACTAAAGAGAATCTTAACAAGTTTGATTCCAAAGCACAGAAGTGTTTTATGCTTGGTTATTCTGAATGCTCTAAAGGCTACAGAGTATTCAATACTGAAACACAGATTGTGGAAGAATCTATTCATGTAAGATTTGATGATAAGCTTGGCTCTGAAAAGCCAAAGCAGTTTGAAAGTTCTGCAGATAGAGAAGTGATTCTCACAGACTCTGAAGGCTCAGAGGCAGAAAAGATTAAAGAAAAGGAATCTGAAGCAACTCTAGATGTTATTCCCTTATCTTCTCAATTGGACAACTTACACATTTCTGAAAGATCAAATGTCAGAGGATCTTCTTCCAGAATCAAGGCATCTCACCTAGAAGATGTAATTATTGGAAAGAAAGATGATCCAATCAGGACAAGATCCTACCTCAGAACATCTGAATCTTCATTGTTTAGCTTAGTGACAATAATTGAACCAACATCTGTGGATGAGGCTCTGAAAGGTAATGAATGGATTATTTCCATGCAAGAAGAGCTAAATCAATTCACCAGAAATGAAGTTTGGGATCTGGTTCCTAGACCTAAAGGATTCAACGTTATTGGAACAAAATGGGTCTTCAGGAATAAGTTGAATGAAAAGGGAGAAGTTGAAAGGAATAAGGCAAAGCTGGTTGCTCAAGGTTACAGTCACCAAGAAGGAATTGACTATACAAAGACGTATGCTCCTGTTGCCAGGTTAGAGTCTATACATTTACTCATTTCTTATGCTGCACAGAATAACATCACTCTATATCAGATGGATGTTAAAAGTGCCTTTCTTAATGGTATTATAGAAGAGGAAGTATATGTCCACCAACCTCCTGGTTTTGAAAGTGAAAACTTTCCAGATCATGTTTTCAAACTAAAGAAATCCCTTTATGGTTTAAAGCAAGCTCCCAGAGCTTGGTATGAGAGGTTGAGTAATTTTCTTCTGAAGAAAAATTTTATCAGAGGAAAAGTGGATACAACTTTATTCTGTAAAACTCTTAAGAAAGATCTGTTGATTTGTCAAATATATGTAGACGATATTATTTTTGGATCAACAAATATTACGCTTGGAAAGGAGTTTGCTAAATGTATGCAGGCAGAGTTTGAGATGAGCATGATGGGAGAATTGAGATTCTTTTGGAAATTCAAGTCAACCAAACTCTAGAGTGCACCTACATACATCAAACCAAATATGTTAAAGAACTTCTGAAGAAGTTCAACATGGTTGAGAGTAAGATGGCAAAGACTCCAATGCATCCTACAAGCACTCTAGGTAAGGAAAAGGTAAGTAAGAAAGTAGATCAGAAACTCTATAGAGGTATGATAGGATCTCTTCTATACTTGACTGCATCTAGACCTGATATTTTGTTTAGTGTCTGCTTATGTGCAAGATTCCAATCAGATCCTAGAGAATCACACTTAACAGTCGTTAAGAGGATTCTAAGGTATCTGAAAGGTACTACTAACATGGGTCTGTGTTACAGAAGATCTGATGAATTTTCATTAGTTGGATTCTGTGATGCTGATTATGCTGGAGACAGAGTTGAACATAAAAGCACTTCTGGAAGCTATCAGTTTCTTGAAAGTCATATGATCTCATGGTACAGCAAGAAGCAACCCACTATTGCATTATCAACTACAGAGGCAGAATACATTGTTGCTGCTGGATGTTGTGCGCAGATGCTCTGGATGAAGAGTCAGCTAGAAGACTATCAGATCTATGAGAATAATCTTTCTATCTTCTGTGATAATACTTCTGCTATATGTCATACCCCAAATTTGTCCTACCTTTTTTCAAAATTTTTATTTGCCCGATTTTGTTTTTAATTTACCTCGCTTATACAGCGTAGCGTAATTTTTAGCAAAAACAGGCATTTTCTTTTTTTAGCCCAATAATTTTTTGACACGTGGCATTTGTTTGTGATTTATTTGTGCTACGTAACATTTGTTTTCGTAATTATTTCTGTTTCATAATTTCTTTTTTTTATTTTTATAATATGTAAATATAATATAGTTTTAATATTAATCAATTATTTAGTTTAGATTAGGTTAATTTTTAATAATTAGTATTATTTTTTGTATATCTTGTTTGTATTGATATATATTAACAATACTGGTAATTAAATATTCTTTTTTAAAATTTTAGTGTATTCTATTTTATGATCATCAATGCTTCTTTAATATATATTATTTAGATTACACTACTATTATTTTATTTAAGTTGTTAATATTAATTAATAATTATAAGAAAATTAATCAAAATTAAAATCATTTTTAAGAGAAGGAAAGTGGAAATTGGGGAAGGCCCATTTGTATTTGGCCCGTTAGGGTTGAGTCCCATGGGTTATATGTAGGACTTCTCATTCAGAAAAGAGGGGATGGAATTACTGTTCACCGAGTCCAAATCGGCGCCAAAACCAAGAATCACCATCTTTCTTATCCATACAAACACTCTCACAACATCTCTTGGTTTTCCCAAATGGAGAAGAAGCGGCCATGAACATCACGCTCCTACGACCACCACCACCATCACCAATCTCAACCTCTCACCAACCCCTCGCACTTCACCACCACCGCACTTCTTCTTCTCCGTTCAACTTCCCCAAAACCAAAACCACTACCTCCAACTCTTTTGTGTTGAACTCCACAAACCCTTCCTCACTCTCCGCAACATTAAAATCAGAACCACGCGACTAAAAGCTTCTAACACTTTTACAACAGAGAAAAACCGAAAAAGCTTGGATTGCTTACACTCTCTCCGCTCACCTCCCTAACCCCACTTTCCTCACGCGCCTCCATAATGAATCCCAGCTTCACCGCCTCGACTCTAACTCCCTCGGCCTCCTCGCGGTTGCCGTTACTAAAGCTGGTCATACCCTCTACGCCTCCTCTGTTGTCAAATCCATGCTCCGCTCCGGGTATCTCCCTCATGTCAAAGCATGGAACGCTGTTGTAAGCCGGCTTGCTTCTGATGATGACGCTTTCGGTCTCGTTGAGGCTCTCCGTCTCTTCCATTCAGTCACGCGCCGGCTACGTAAGCTTCCCGACCTTAACACGGCGGCGGATTCGCAGCCGGATACGGTTGCCTTCAACGCGGCACTTAATGCATGTGCTAATTTGGGGGATGGTAAGTTGTTCTTGCAGGTGTTTGATGAAATGTCGCAGTTTGGTGTTGTGCCGGATTCTTTTAGTTATAGCATTGTTATGAAGCTGTGTTTTGGGAGTAATAGAAAAGACTTGCTCGTGTTTGTGTTGGAGAGGATTCTTCAGTTGAATATCGGTTTGTTTTATATGAGTGTGTGTAGCAACAACCAGTTGGAACCGGCAACATTTTGATTTTGCAGCAGAACTCGATGCCAATGTCGTAACAGCAACTCCGTAGCATGGAACGATACAAGCATTACAGCAGAGGTTCTTGCCACTTTACTCATTTCACTTTCGGGATCTCCTTCTGTTTCGCGGCGACACCGCGAAGTTGCCAGCTGCGGCGACCGGAGAACGTCCCGACTGTTTTGCTTCTAGCTCAACAACAACGACAACACGGCGTCGGCATTCTCGGCTTCGGCTAGGTAAACGTATCAACTAGTTTCGCTTATTTGTCGGATTGGGTAATTATTTGTGATTGTTGTTCAATTAAAGGTTTTCTATTTTTCATTGGTGATATGGTTTGGACGTTCACGTTGTTGTTTTGATCCTTGGTGTTCTTCGATGTCGGATTGCGAAAGTTGTTATCATTTGAACTAATATACAGATCTACCAGTTTTTTTCACTACACTAATTATGTATATTTCTGCTGTGATGTTTTGAAATACTAAGCCACTGATGTTAAATGCCAAAGTTTTATTTGTTTTATGTTGTTCAATATTTTGATGTATTGTAAAATTATCTCATTGTGAATCATGATTAATGTTTGGATTGAATTTCGCAAGAGTTTTTGATTGCTCCCTGTAGATTTGATCCGATTTTCGCGGCTGTTACTGTTTTATCTTGACAGTTAGATTAATTGATTCTTCTTGAACAAATTGCAACATTGTCCAATGTGTTGGTTTATTTTTATGGTTTGTAAATAATTTATAAATAGTAGAAATAATGGTATAATGAAGTTGATAAAAAATGTTTTTTTTATTTTTCGGTGGATCATAAGTTACAGTATTTATAAAAACATTATGTTGAGAGCCTACTTTACAAAATACTTTCCTTTAGCTATTTTTTTTTAAAAAATTCTTATTATTAATAGGTTGATTAAATATTTAATTTTGTATAAAATAGGTAATTTTGACTTTATTTTTTATGTTAGTTAGTTAATTAGATTAAGATATGTTAATATACTTAATTAAGTTATTTTTCCATTCAAATTAATTTCTTATTCCTATTCTTTTCGATTAAACAATGTAGATGTTGGGCTCTTGGGGTCTAGCATCCCTTGAGTCCTTGAACAACTATTCCCGAGGCGCACGCCTTTGAGTTACGGTCGTTCCATTTTTTTCGATTTTCAAAAATGTTCACTCAATTCAATTAAAGCTTCTAAAAGATATTTTTAAATTAATTTTATTAATTAGATATTTTTATAATAAGGTCCAATTATTATTCTTTTAAAAGATATATATTTCAAAATTATTATCAAATAATATTTTGAATATTAGAAAATTATATTTCATTAAGTTAAAATCTTCTTTAAGATATTAAACTTTTTCTCAAAACAATTAATTATGATTAGTTTTTCTCAAACTTTTTTTGCAATCGATTAATTTATTTTACATATGAAAATTAAAACTATCTTTCTTAATAAAATTAAACTATTTTTCTTAATCAAATTTCAAAACAATAAAATTCTTGGATCTCGCCTTCCTTGAATTTTTAAGCAACCGCTCTCGAGGTGCACACCTTGAGTTGTGACCCTTCCGATCTTATTTTCAAGAATACCTAGCGCGCCTAGTCCGAGTACGCTAATATTTTCAAATTGTTTTCATAATTAAATCACGAAATAATCGAGTTCCTGGAGTCGCGCATTCCTCGAATTCGAGAGTGACTACTATTGAGGCGTACGCCTTGAATGGTGTGTGTTGCACCCCAAAATTTGACCAACAATTATTTATTCATTGAGTGTTTGAAAGTTGATACCTTCATCAGACAGTTCAAGAGATCCTCAGAGGAGTGGTTTGAAACCAAGGTTGTGTGCTTCACAGTTTGAAAGTTGTGGGTGCCCCTCAGATGATTCTGAGACTTTGAGAATGGACTTGATGTTTTGAGAAAGCCTATGAGATGTCTTGAAGCCCAGAGAGGTCATTATGCAAGAATTCAGGAGATTCAACCATGAATGGTAGAATTAGGGTTTGACTGGGTCAACCCTAGGTTAACTGAAAATTTGGAGAAGGTTGAGACCTAATACAAGGGCCATGAGATCATGGAATGATGCATGGACATGTTATAAAGATGATTCCTAGGCCAACTCATCATGATTGAGGAGTTTGAGAAGTTTTGAGTTAGGGTTTCTGAGGATTGTCAGTGAAAAACCCTAATTTGATCCCTATCTTCCAGGCAGTCTTAGCTCAAGTTATGATTGATATCTCACTTTCCCCATAACATGAATGTTGTAGAGCTTGTTCTAAGCTTTAATTTGAGTGGTGGAAGTCCTTGATAGGAGTTACAGAGCTCAAGTTATGGTTTTGACAAATTACAGGTCAGCAGAGGTGTGTGAATCTGGGTCCTTGAAAGTCACCCAACTTGCAGACAACTTTTGCCCTAGTAGGAGGATTCCTATGATTTCTTGGTCAACATGAATGTTGAAGAGCATCTTCTTAGCTTTAATTTGAGTGGTAGAAGTCCTTGATTGGATTTGTGGAACTCAACTTATGGTTTGAACAAGACAGGGGTATTTTGGTCATTTGTCAGTTATAGGTCATTTTAGCCAATGCCTAAAACTCCTATTTCCAAGCCTCAAATGGAAAAACTCAAAACATGGAAGTTGCTCAAAATGTGATTTTAAGTCTAGAAAGAAGGTCACAAATTGTTGGAAAAGCTCATAGCATGAGATTACATGATTGGTCCAAAATGAACTAAAAATGGCTTATAAACTTGAAAAGTTGAAATTGAAAAGTGATTTGGAAGATCCACAAATCCAAAATAGGTCATCCAATATATCATTTTGATTGGAAAAACCATTTTGAGAACATTGGTTTAGCTAGAATTTTGATTTGGAGCCTTAAAATGGGTGATGCTTTGAAAAGTTATTACTTGAAAAAGAAGGCAATGTTGGAAAACTTAACACAAGGTAATTACAAGGCATGTGAGCTTCCTTACCATTCCATATTATCATGTGATGAGATTTTAAAAGGTGTGTAAGTTGGTTAGAGGTGATATATCATGAGATCCCAAAATACCATAATAGGAGAATTTCATGAAACTCCTAGAACTTCCTTGGATCAAGTTAGAATCTTCTAGATTTTTCCATTCATGTATATATAAGGAGAAGTGATCATGAGGGTGAGAGGTTGGTGCATTAAGAAGGAGAATAGAGAGATTTGAGAGATTACTTCCATTTCAAGCAAGTGAGAAACTCTCCATTACAATCCCTTCCTGTTCAAAGTTTGGAGTCTTCCTCAATCATTGGAGCATTGTGAGTGTGAGAGAGCCTTCTCCAAGGTCCATCCATGGCTGCATGAAGAGTTGGTATTACAAACTCAAGATTGAGCATCAAGGTTGCAGTCAAGAATACAAGCTTTCTTCTTCAGTTTTGTTGCATACAGTAGCCTCAACATCACTTAGGGATCACTCTTGAAGATTGGCCAAGCTTGGAGTGCAAGAATCCATAACTGTTTTCTCCAAGAATTCAGGTTTGCAACTTGATTCTTTCACCTGCATTTATGGCTTGTTAGCATGTTTCTTTAGGGTAGAAATGTTAGGTCTAGGTAGATGAGCATGTATGCAATCTGTTAGAGCCATTGATGGTGATCCATATCAGGGCAGTTGAGCTTTGATGGCATATAACTCTTAGATTAGGACGCGATAATCTTGGGTTGTTAGTGAAGAATGATCCACGTGAAGTGTAGTTTAGATTAGTATAGGTTAGGTTGAGGTTCTTGAGGATAGGTTGCAGTGCATTTCCATGGTGGACAGAACTTGTGGCTATCGGTTTGAGTAAAATGGTGAGCTTCAAGCCAAACTAAGACCACAGCCTTGTAGAGCTTGAGTAGTAGAGCATTTTTCATTTTTGAATCGTGTCGAACCATGGCCTGAGCAGAGAGATAGAGGAGCTTGAATCTTAGGGCATGGGGGAGAGGGTTCTGAAAACCCTAGTTTGATTTTGGGACGATGAAGGAGAGCCTTTGATTTGGTCCCAAAGCTTGACTTGTTATGATGATCCAACGGCCGTGCGCGAGTCTGAGAAAGAGAGGGAAATTTCAAATAATCCAAACGCGGCGTTTCATTTAGAGCCAGCGTTCTGGGCTCAGCTTGCTATTCGCCCCCCCTTTTTTGTTGGCCCAATTATTTCCAACTAGCGCGTGTGCTATTCCAACCCCCCCCCCCTCCCTTTATTTAATTTATATTCTTTTATATTGTTTAATATTTTTCTGTCTTTGAAAATTCATTAAAAAATGGAAATTAACTCTTTTTTACTTCTTCTTTTTTCTATGATTAGATCATTATGTGTAGAAAATTATAAAAATAAAAATGGGATTTTATTTTTTAGTTTAATA